AATGGATTGCTCTCCGAACGAGGAATCCATTAGTGGGGGTCACACGTTCGGTTTAGCCCACTGTAGGGCGTCGGCGCGGGGAAACAGTTTGAAATTGGCGCTCGGGCAATCACTCGCAGGGCCCCGGGTGTGGCGGTGTGGGGCGCAGGGTGCAGGGGTCGTTATAAGGGGGAAATAGAAGGAGATGAAAGACGGCTCCTCCCGGCAGGGCTTGAAGCCTCCAGGCTGGAGGCTGGAGGCGCCTGGAGGGGCGCAAATGGAGTAGGCTCTCTGTGCCCCCGCTCACGTCCCGGCCCGACCCGGCCCGGCTTGGCCTGTTTCGCAAACAACCAGTGCAGGAACCACGTAACGGGCAGACGCCATGGCGCAGTTATGATGGTATCACGCGTCGAGGCCGCCCCGCCCCTTTGGCAGGGGGTGCGCCGCCCCGCCGCCACGCCGCCAGGCAGCCCCCCGGCCGCGCGCCGCCACGCCCCGCGCTCTGCCCCGCCTCGAAGAATAGACTTTCCGAGTGTCAATGTTGCCTCGGCAAACACGGAATGGACTTTACTTGGGCGTCGCTCCGTCTCCGTCCGCCTCTGCCGAACGCGCCGGTCGCGAGAGAGACAGAGCGACGGAGTCAGTCTGCTGCTGCTCACACTGCCAGTGCACCTCCCCGGCCAGACCTTTCCCTTCGTCCTTTGGCCGCCTTTGCCGGTGCGCCGATGAGTAGCAGTGCCGCCCTCTCGCGACTTCCGGGTCGTTGCCGCCCTCCTCCCCTCCCCCTCCCCTCCGCCACTCGAAAAGCCGCGCCTCGGCCCTTGAGCCCTCGGCCCCTCGGCCACCGGAAGGCTGATACGTGCGACAAGCCCGCGTGATTTGAATACTTGGGCCACTCCCCGGCCAGGCCGCGGCCCTGCTCGGCCCGGCGGGGGGCTGAAGCAGGCTGAAGCAGGCTGAAGGCTGAGGGGTGCAGACCTCTTCCGAACCATAAAGTAGCGGCGGTTCGCTGCCTTTGCCTGCAGGCTGAGAGTCGTCCTCGTCGCTCTGTCTCTCTCGCACCTGTACGGGACGCCCCATGAGCGCGAGAGAGACAGAGCGACGAGAGCGACTCTCGGAATCAGTCGGCAGCCGAGCGAATCCGAAGGACCGCTTCACCCACCCCTACGGGGCGCCCCGCAGGAGAGCGACAGAGACAGAGCGACGAAACGATCCTGGGGAATCCTGTTGGGAATGGCTCGGCAGCCGCCCAGTCGCCAGCAGGCCGAGCAAGGCCTCACCCAGGTCAGGGAACACGGGGCGACCTTATCTGCCTGCGTACATGCCTGGACTTGTGCCAGGCCGGCAAGTGCTCTCGACGCTCTGTCCCTGTCGCACTCGCGGCGCGCTTCGCGGGGGTGCGAGCGAGACAGAGCGACTGTTGAGCCTGAAGGCGCACGGCGGTCCGCGACCTCCGCGGCGAGCCGCCGCGTGGGGCGTTGTTCGTTATTCCAGCGAATGGAATGAAAAGCAAAGGCCCCCGTCGTCGTCGGCGGCATGGCGGCGCGGCACGGCGCGGTCCCCGGGGCGAGGCTACAGGCCCCCGAGGTAAGCAAAGCAAGGGCGGATCCAGGGACGGGTTCAGGGGGGGGCGACGTCGTGAAAGTTGCCTACCTACAGGGGTTATGTGCGACTTTTTGCCTACCTTTCAGGCGGCTTCGCCGCCTTCAGGGGGGGGCGACCCCCCCATCGCCCCCCCCTTGGATCCGCGCCTGAGCGCGACAGTGTCGCGGCAGGGGAAGCGCGACAGTGTCGCGGCAGGGGAAGCGCGACAGTGTCGCGGCAGGAGAAGCGCGACAGTGTCGCGGCAGGGGAAGCGCGACGGCCTCGCAGCAGGAGAAGCGCGACAGTGTCGCGGCAGGGGAAGAGCGACAGTGTCGCGGCAGGGGGAAGCGCGATGACGTCGCGGCAGGTGAAGCGTGACAGTGTCCCAGTGACAGTAGACGATACTTCAAAAAAAAATTATAATAAAAATATAGGGTTGGTCAACTGTGGGGTAGGTCAACCTTTTTTGTTAATATTTATAACACTATTATTTATAGTCCCCCAGCGAGACGCGCTGTGCCAGCGTCAAACAGCGAGGCTGTGCCAGCGTCAAACAGCGAGGCTGTGCCAGCGTCAAACAGCGAGGCTGTGCCAGCGTCAAACAGCGAGGCTGTGCCAGCCTCACACAGCGAGGCTGTGCCAGCGTCAAACAGCGAGGCTGTGCCAGCGTCAAACAGGAGGCTGTGCCAGCGTCAAACAGCGAGGCTGTGCCAGCGTCAAACAGCGAGGCTGTGCCAGCGTCAAACAGCGAGGCTGTGCCAGCGTCAAACAGCGAGGCTGTGCCAGCCTCACACAGCGAGGCTGTGCCAGCCTTACACAGCGAGGCTGTGCCAGCGTCAAACAGCGAGGCTGTGCCAGCGTCAAACAGCGAGGCTGTGCCAGCCTCACACAGCGAGGCTGAGCCAGCGTCAACAGCGAGGCTGTGCCAGCCTCACACAGCGAGGCTGTGCCAGCGTCAAACAGCGAGGCTGTGCCAGCGTCAAACAGCGAGGCTGTGCCAGCGTCAAACAGCGAGGCTGTGCCAGCGTCAAACAGCGAGGCTGTGCCAGCCTCACACAGCGAGGCTGTGCCAGCCTCAAACAGCGAGGCTGTGCCAGCGTCAAACAGCGAGGCTGTGCCAGCCTCACACAGCGAGGCTGTGCCAGCGTCAAACAGCGAGGCTGTGCCAGCGTCAAACAGCGAGGCTGTGCCAGCGTCAAACAGCGAGGCTGTGCCAGCCTCACACAGCGAGGCTGAGCCAGCGTCAAACAGCGAGGCTGTGCCAGCCTCACACAGCGAGGCTGTGCCAGCGTCAAACAGCGAGGCTGTGCCAGCGTCAAACAGCGAGGCTGTGCCAGCGTCAAACAGCGAGGCTGTGCCAGCGTCAAACAGCGAGGCTGTGCCAGCGTCAAACAGCGAGGCTGTGCCAGCCTCACACAGCGAGGCTGTGCCAGCCTTACACAGCGAGGCTGTGCCAGCGTCAAACAGCGAGGCTGTGCCAGCGTCAAACAGCGAGGCTGTGCCAGCGTCCGCGGCAGGGGAAGCGCGACGGCCTCGCGGCAGGGGAAGCGCGACGGCCTCGCGGCAGGGGAAGCGCGACAGTGTCGCGGCAGGGGAAGCGCGACGGCCTCGCGGCAGGGGAAGCGCGACAGTGTCGCGGCAGGGGAAGCGCGACTGCCTCGCGGCAGGGGAAGCGCGACGGCCTCGCGGCAGGGGAAGCGCGACAGTGTCGCGGCAGGGGAAGCGCGACGGCCTCGCGGCAGGGGAAGCGCGACAGTGTCGCGGCAGGGGAAGCGCGACAGTGTCGCGGCAAAGGAAGCGCGACAGTGTCGCGGCAGGGGAAGCGCGACAGTGTCGCGGCAGGGGAAGCGCGACAGTGTCGCGGCAAAGGAAGCGCGACAGTGTCGCGGCAGGGGAAGCGCGACAGTGTCGCGGCAGGGGAAGCGCGACGGCCTCGCGGCAGGGGAAGCGCGACCAAGGGCGGATCCAGGGACGGGTTCAGGGGGGGGCGACGTCGTGAAAGTTGCCTACCTACAGGGGTTATGTGCGACTTTTTGCCTACCTTTCAGGCGGCTTCGCCGCCTTCAGGGGGGGGCGACGCCCCCATCGCCCCCCCCTTGGATCCGCGCCTGAAGCAAAGCCGAGCCAAGCCGAGCAAAGCGCGCCGAGCACGGCACTGCGACTTTCGCGGACTTGTTACGTTGCTCCGCGCAGGCTCAGTCTTTCATTACGCGCGGAATTTAATTTCCAGCCACTCCCTGCCAGATGTGCCCCGCGTGCCCCTTCGTCGGCGACGTCCTGGCCCCGGCCTTGGTTTTATCAGGGAGCCACCTCCTTTGAGATTGCGAGGAGATCGGGAGCCCTATAGAAATCCCCGCCGCCGCGTCGGCCTGGGGCCCTGGCCCTGCACACAGTGGGCCAGAAGACCGGCGTCGGCGGCCAAAATTCTAGACGCGTTTTGAGCTCCAGAGTCGCCAAACAGGACTCAAACCGAGCGTGTGACCCCACCAAAGGATTCCTCGTTCGGAGAGCAGTCCATTGGTGGGGTCACACGTTCGGGTCGAGTCCTATATAGCGACTCTGGAGCTCAAAACGCGTCAAGAGTTCTGGCCGGCCTTCCGGCCCACTGTGCTGCAGCCCCCGGGGCCCCGGAGCCGCGGCCTCGCCTCTGGAACGACGTGCTAGAAAACTGGAGCAGCGAGGCTGGGCCAACGGCAACGTGTGGCCTTTGTCTTGTCCATGCGAGTGGCTGGAGGCTGGAGGCACTAGGCTCGCTGCAGAAAACGGAAGTCTCACTCAGCTCGCTCCATTCTTCCCTTTCTGAGCCGCACCACTGGAAAGAGAGGCGTACACCGCGTCAGCCGTTTCCCAATTTCCATTTGTTTATTCCGCAGCCGATGTTTTCGGGTTCGTGTTACTTTTTCTCTCTTTCCGCGCGTTAGTTTGAGATGCAAACTGCGATTTGTTTTGTTTCCGCGCCCCTTCGTCGGAATCGTTCGGGGTCCGCGGGAGCGCGGCCGAGGCTTCGGCAAATCGGCCGGGACCGCGGCATGTCTTTGCATTATTTATCATCCACTCCCGCGCTCAACTCGCGTTCCTTCGGTGCCAACTGGCCGATGCTGGCCGACCCCGGCGGCCAGAAACAAAAGCTTCGCACCGCCGCCGGCGGCTGGTGGCTCTCCCTGGCGGCCGATCTGGTCATCACCGCCTCGCCGACACGACCGGACACGACACGACGCACCGGCAGTCTCATCCGTCTCGTCTCATTCATGCTCTGCCTCCTCGCCTCCACCTGCGGGCTGGCGGGGCTGGCCACCGCTCTCATCGCGTTGCCATGGAGACAGACGCCTCTCTCCCTCCGATTGGCTCAGACAGACAGGCAGCTCCTGTGTCTGGATCAATTGGTCGGACAAAGAGCGCATCTCTCACTCCCCGAGATGGTGTTACGGGCTTTCATTCAGCGTCTGCCGCTCATTTGTCATGAGCGGTTTTTTAAAATTCGGCATTCTTTATCAGCAGAACCGCTTCTGCCCTTTCCATTCCGAATTCCTTCTCCGGGCCGAATGCCACGAAGCATTCTGATTGTTTTCGTTTCCATCGGTTGAATATCAACCCCGGCGCCCCCCGATTCTGTCCGCGGGAGTCCAGAATTCCCTGCTTTCCCGTCGTTCGCGTTCCGTCATGTCGCGAGTTGCGTCCTCGTATCCACGCGGTAGAAGGCTGTTTGCACAACATAGTACCCGATTTGTCCGCGCGGAGGCGTGGCGCACGCCTGACCGCGCCGCCAGTGTAGTAACAGCTGAAGGCGGAAGTAGACGTCACTGCGTTGTTTCGGTTTCGCCACTCGTGTTGCACCACCACGCATCTGCCGGTATCTCCGTCTCCCTCGCTCGTCAAATATAGCTCCTATATTGCCACCGAGGCGTGAGGACGACGGAAATTTCGTTTCCTTTTTACCGATAGCTGTGTGGTTTTGTTTGCAAATTGATTGCAAAGTGTTTACGCTCCACGGGGTCGGCACCGCGCCGCGGTTGACGTCGAGAAGAGTTCGTCATCGTACGTGTTGTCCAGCCGTCAGCAAGCATGCCAGGCCGCGCCATGAAGTAAGTGAGTCATGTCGGGTGCACCATGTTGATCGAAAATGTCGAAAGCAAACGCCCGCTGTCGAATCTAGATTCTGTGGGACGGGGAAACGCGCGGGCGTTGTGCACACGATGTAAACAAGCGGGTGGCCGCGACTGTCAGTCAAGTGCAGTCAAGTGGCGGTTATTGGTTGTTGTCCCTCTTTTTGGAACGAATGTGGAAGTCGTATTTACGATGGCACCTGTCTGATAGCTTGGCTGGAATGTCGGCTGTGCTGCTGGGATTGAAGCAAAACAAGCACCAGCTTGTCGGCTGTCTGAGCGTGAGGCAGGGCCGCTCTGCCGCCGGCACGCCGGCGTATCGGAAATCCCTCTGCATCCGACACATTCACGGTATTATTTGATTCGCGTCATTATTATTTTCGGCGGCCCGGTCCGATCCGAACGTTTTCTAACACAAGTTCATTTCATGTTCCCACCCCTGTGTCGGGACGAGTTATTTTCACTCCGTTTTCACTCTTTTTCGTGTTTTCTGTGACTCGTTGCCTTGTTATCGATTTCCGTCCAAATTATGTGTCCCCCTCGCTGTGGAGTGAGTGCGGGTGGACGGGCGAGGGGCGAAGTGGCGTCGCGGGCCCGGGCAAACGGGCACCGCCACCAAACATTGTTCCGGTTTTTATCAGAAAGCATTCCTTCGTGAATGCGGCTGCCATCACAGCTCAATTTTTCAACAGTCGGCAGCGTTGACTTTGACAAGAAAGGTGGGGGTCACGTTGGGCTGCCTACCCGCACGGCGTTTCGCTTCGCCCGCCCCATTTCTTGCGGCCTTCCTTTCCGTTCCATAAATAAAGACATGAATTTTGAACGAGCGTGCGTCTGCGCCCTGTCTGCTGCGAGTTTGCAGGCCGTTTGTTGCGCCACTGTGAATCAATGCGTGACTCTGAGTGGGCGCACGCATCTCCACTTCCCCTTTCACGTTGTCACTCCCCTCCCTCCCGTCACTGTCATTTCCTCATCGATTTCTGCGCAAATTATAGAAGCCCACTCTGATCCCCTGTGGTGCGTCGGCGGCGCGGCGGCGCGGCCCGGCCTCCGCTGCAGACGGATTCCGAGAGGCGTTTTCGTCGCTCTGTCTCTCTCGCTCCAGTACGGGGCGCCCCGTGAGTGCGAGAGAGACAGAGCGACGAAAACGAACCTCGGAATCAGTGTGCCGGGTGCGCGCTGCGCGCAGGCAGCCGGGCAGGGCTTAGCGCGTCGTGTCGGGGCCGATATTACCCCGTAATGCCGCTACAGTGTCATTACCCCGAGCCTCCCTCGGCGCGCGTTACCCCGCATTACCCCGCGGGGCCCGAAGGGACCCCGAAGGGAGCCCCCCGCCGCCTCCATGCCGCTGATATCGCGTGGGGCTGTCGGGTTTTCTCAACAACTTGAGCCATTGTCCCACTGTCGTCGTTTTAGTTTCGGCAAATGGGTCCCCGGCACGGTGAAGACCGCCCCCCTCCCCCTCCCCCACGCGCGGCGACGATGGATCGCGCGCCGCTGGAGACGATGTCTTGAATGAAATTGATTTAAGTAGAGCGTGCCTCGCGACAGTGCTCGGCGGCAACGAGCCTCGCTTTGATATCGCTGGAATTCGCCTCCTTCCCTGCATGGTGCCGCCCCGCCCCGCCCGCTCCCCTTGTCTCTGTCGAAACCCCTCTTGGCTGGAGGGCTTTTCAGGCCGGCTGGAGCCGAGGCTGGAGCTAAAGCGTTTCGGTGCGAATGGGGAGCCGCCTCGTGAAAGGGGTCTGCTTGGGCTCCAGCAGGCTCCAGCGCGCGCGCCCCTGGAATTCCGCGAGCCGGGTGAAGCCTTGGCGTACCTGGTCCAGGCGGATGTTGTCGACGGTGAAGTGGAACCAGATCCGGAAGCGCGGGTTGCACGTGTCCGGCCGGATGAACAGGTCGTACTCGTACTCGTTGACGAGGTCCACGCGCCCCAGGTTGCCTGCGGAGTACGGCGGTCACGTCGCTTTCGGCGCTCTGTCTCTCTCGCACTCATGGGGCGTCCCGTTTCGGTGCGAGAGAGACAGCTATGAGGGCGTGGCCCAGAGGACCGGGTGGATGCGGCCAAAATTCTAGACGCGTTTTGAGCTCCTGAGTCGCTAAATGGGACTCGAACCGAACGTGTGACCCCACCAATGGACTGCTCTTCGAACGAGGAATCCATTGGTGGGGTCACACGCTCGGTTCGAGTCCTGTCTAGCGACTCTGGAGCTCAAAACGCGTCCGGGATTTTGGCCGCCTCCACCAGTCTTCTGGCACGGTACTGCACCTGTCTCGAAGGCGGCGTCGAAGCACAGGTGGCCCTTCTTGGCCTTGCCGCTGTGGCCGGGCGGCCGCATGACGACGCGCGACACGTTGCCGAGGCCGCCCTCGCTCTCGCTGTCGTCGCTGTCTGCAAAAGAGTGGAGTAGGCATGAGAAATCGCGCCGCACGCTCGATCCATCACCATTTAAATTCACTCCGCCCGGCCGGAACACCGGAATGGATTTCTCATACTCGGCTCGGCGACCGAGACGGATGGCGGGGCCGCGGGGCTGGCTGCAGGCTGATTCCGAGTGGGATGTCTCTCTCTCTCTCGCACTCATGGGGCGCTCCATTCCGGCGCGAGAGAGACAGACCGACGCCCGCACTGCGCGGAATCAGTGGGCTGGGCCGCGGGGGTGGGGCGTGCCGTATCTCCGCCGGCCAGGGCGGCCAGTCGACTGATTCCGAGGGCGGCCTTCGTCGCTCTGTCTCTCTCGCACTCGTGGGGCGTCCCGCATAGGTGCGAGAGAGACAGAGCGACGAAGGCGGCCCTCGGAATCAGCCGACAGGGCGGCCGGGGGTTGGTCGGTCGCTCGGACGGCTATTCCTCAACGCGAAGGGTAGCTCTGCGTTTAGGCTCGGGTTCGCGACACGCCCGGGATAAATGTCGCCGCCCGATGACGCATGGGCTGGGCCTGGTGGGTCGCCTGCCGGTTTGACAGGTCTGACGGGGCGGGCGGCTCTCATCTAGATTTGGTCGTTTGCCTCTCTAGCGAGTTGGAGTGTGTTATCAAGCAGGACAGCTGTTGCGCTGGCGGCGGCGCGGCGGGAGGGGCGCTTGTCTTCGGCCTTGACTGGGTGCCGCGCCCCGGGGCCCCGCGTCACTTGACCTGCACGATGAGCCCCCCGGGGGGTTGGGCCCCGTTGGGGTCGCCCGGGGAAAGCATCGGCACGTCGGCATGATCCATCCGAATGGCAGCAGGTTGATTCCGGAACGATGCTCGGTCGCTCTTTCTCTCTCGCACTCCCACGGGACGCCGCACGAGTGCGAGAGAGACAGCGGCCGGCGGAGCACGGGGCCGCTAATGTGGCGGCGGTAGACTGCGCGGGGCCGCGGGCCGTGGGGCGTACGCGGCGGGGGGTGGGGCTCCAGCGGGCTCCAGGCAGACTCCAGCACGGACGGCGTTTCCTGGTTCACCCCACCCCCTTCCCCGCCGCCCGTGCGGTCGAGGCGCGCCCCGCTGTCTGGCTGCGCGGCCGTGCCGCCAGGCAGCCAGCCAGCAGCCCAGCTCCGCCGGCCGCGCCCTCGCGCATCATCGCCGTCCTCCCCTCTCGCTCGGCCATGGCTGGCGGGGCTGGCGAGGCTGGCAGCGACCCCAGGGGACAGGGGTGGCGGCGCGGCGCGGGGCGGGCGGCTTTTAAATCCAGCGACCTGTGCCGCCGCCGCGTCTGCGATGTCTGCGACGTCTGAGGGGATGACACTGGCGTGGCGCACCGGCCAGTGGTCAGGCCGTCGGCCCGGCTGCGCGGCAGCGACTATGTACACACAGGGGTGGCGCGTGAGTGGCAGCGACTGTGCACCCGCTGGAGTGCATCGCGCAGCAGCGGCGCGGCGGCGCAGCTGTTTGGAAGGCCGCCTCCCTTCCCCGCTGCAAGTGTGTGTGTCCGTGTGCAATGTGCATGACGGGGACGTGCGCGTGGCCGTGCTGGTGCAGGCCGTGTTGCAGGCCGAGGGGGCGTGTACCTGAGTCCCCCATGGGGCCGGCGCCGGCGGCAGGGCGATGGTTGTGGATGGACTGGCGCGGCCCCCTAAGGTTGCAGCGCCCCCGGGGGCGCGGGGTGGGGTGGGGCGGGGCGGGGCGCGGTGCGGCGGGGCCGAGATGTCGCCCCCGTGCACCGCGCGGGCCGCCCGGGCCCCGCCCACGCCCTGGGATGCAGATGCGGCGGTGGCGGTGGCTGACGGCAGCTACCCTTGCCTGGGCGGCGCTTGGCGGCGCTTGGCGGGGCCTGGGCGCTGCTGCCGGCGGTGGTGACGGCGGGGTGGCGGCGGCGCCCCCCGTGCCTCCCCTCCCCTCGCCGCGCCGCCACCCTCCGCCGCCCGGCCACGCCTGCCCTAGCCTGGCGGCCTGGCCTACCCCCTTGCTTGGCTCGAATCGATTTTCTGCGACTCCGGCTCGTGGTACTCCGCGCGCCCCGCCCCACCCCGCCCTGGTGTGTCGCTCCGCGACGCCAAGTAGTGCCTGCGCTTTTCCGACGCCGTGGCCGCGGTTTTGAACACCGTTAGGAAGTTGATGTCCAGGTGGTTCTGGTTTTTCTAGTGGTGTGCACTAGGCCCGCCCTTGTCCGACGTTGCCCCGGTGGGCGCGGCCCCGCGACCCGGCGCGGACGGATTCGCGGCGTGCCGCACATGCGCCGGGACGACCGGGATGTTGCCCCCTCCCCCTCCACCCCCACCAGGAGCCACCCTTAGCCGAAGGCACGGGACGGCACGGCACGGGTAGGGCCGCGGCTCTGCCAGTCATTTAGTTTCTGCACGGTACGACTGGACCTTGTGTTCTGTTTGTAGGGAGTTTGTCGCAGTTTTTTGTTTGTTGTTTTCCCTTCAATTTTTGATCAGTTCGTGTTTATTTCGATATCTAGTTCCGTTCTCCGTTTTCCTGACGGTATACCACCACATTTATCGGATCGGTAGGTGATTTTTTCCTGTTTTTTGATTTTGCCTTTTAGCTCTTTGA